TATCTACTTCAGTACAATGGAAGATGGTCGCGCAACTTCGTGGATCGGTTGATGTTAGGCACTAACACCATTAAATGCCGACTCAGAGGTCCAGTAGAAAATATTAGTTCATCAAGGACTTCGAAGCAACCAACTGCTAATCTGACTGCAGATCACTTGTCCAAATCGTGACAATTGTTTAACGATTGCATTGTGTAGTAAGTTAGTCGTATTTTGTTATAGGATTTCATACAATTATGAACTATCTGAGCTAGATAGTTTCGAATGATTGAAGAGATTACCACTAACGATCAACTCATCTTTTAACTTTTTTCCCAGGATCTTTGCCTGTGTTTGCGTGACTTGTCTACTTGTATCCCTTTGAGTGGATACCACTGTTACTAAATGCATCTCCTACGACGTGAATAGGGAGTTAACCAACAAGGTAATTTCTCATACACATAGTTCCCTTTATCATTTTGAAAAGAGCAAGCACAAGCATTCTAGCAGAACAGCATGATTTCATTTTTATTTCTACATAAGGTATATATTTACAATATTCAGTCTATTAAATTTATTTACACCCTTGCTACACTATACTAATATGTCTTCAATATAACTTCCAACTAAACCCTCTCATGTAAGTAATTTAAACCCATTATGTAATTATGATTTTAAATATCACAGGTCGTAAGCAGCTGACGAGAACCAACGAAATAAAAATATCATGCTATTCTGCTAGAAAGTAACTTCTATCAAATCTCGGCTACATGATTTTTGAAAACAAAGATTTAACATTGCTTCGTCCAAACAAAGGCGCTAATATTATCCTTATGGATTGCATTTATTACATCAACAGATTATCCACCATACCTTCACATGAACATAAGTTCTCTAAAGAATCTACCCGAGAAGATACAAGTAGGCGAATCAAGCAAACAGAGGCAAAAGTCCTGAGAAAGATGTTGAAAGATGAGTTAATCGTTAGTGGTAATCTCTTCAACCATTCGAAACTATCCACCTCAGATGGTCCGTGATTATATGGACTCCTATAATAAATATAACTAACTTACTGCACAATGCAATTGTTGAACAGTTGTCGGGAATTCGACAGCTGACCCGACATCAAGTCAGTGGGCTTAGAACTATTGATTTCTTGGACTTGATTGTTTTAACAACTGAAGTCCTTCCGCTTTAATAAATAACATTTACTGATAAGCTGATGATGAACAACTGAAGGGAAAAGAAAAGAAGAACTATTTGTCTAATCGCTCTAAATATTGGGAATTTTAAGTCGTGTTTCAAATAGGCTAGCCGGTGAAGGTCGTATTACTAATTTATGCATATTGTAGAAAACCAGTCCGGAATTTACACCATCATACCGTATATCAAAACAACTCAAATAAACTACCATGGATTGTAACTACTTTTACACAGGAGGGTCAATTAATTGGGGACATTATTACCAGAAAGGAAAGGAAATTTTACCAAACGAGAGTTCATCACATAAATACATAAGTTGATTTGATGATGCTGAGAATCTGCACATGATGAAAGTATGATTTATTGCAGTTACCTGACAGTAAACTGCTTTAGAATGAAGCCAGAACTACAATGCGATAGAATAATATGAAACCATTTTATGTCGTAGTTTCTGCTCACAACCGTATTTGTACTGGAATATATGTATGAATAACTACGTGTAAGGTCATTTTGTATGGATATCGAAAGCGTAGATGCTGTGAGGCAGTTATTATATTGAATTCGAAAATTGATTAGGTGAGTTGCACAATAGTAACTGTTATTACTAATTGTTATATTCTAGTGGGCCATAAAGATACAACACTAATGTTTTTATTTTGTTACTCAATCTCCGCTGAGCTAAATGTTATTCTACCCACTTTATGATATCTTTTCAATCACTTAATTCTTAATTTTGTGTAATCTCTTCAAACTCTATATAATTTCTATACAATCTACCTTATCAATTTTCGAATTCAATATAATAACTGCCTCACAGCATCTACGCTTTCGATATCCATACAAAATGACCTTACACGTAGTTATTCATACATATATTTCAGTACAAATACGGTTGTGAGCAGCTGAGCAGAAACCACGAAATAAAATGGTTTCATATTATTCTATCGCAATTGTAGCTCTGGCTTTATTCAAATTCATAAACGGAAATAAGTGTACCAAACTCCTTGTCCAACTACAAGTCTTACGATCGAGAAGATTGTAATGATCATCGATACTGAGCTTATCAACCGGTAAACAGGCACACATCAAAGGTAATTATAAGAGGAAGGTTTCTGAGCGAATTCGAGAGAATCTACATCTTACAAATCTAAACACTTTTAGCAGCACACTAACCTGCATGTATGCGACTCACTACAGATATGTAAAGGATTATGAGTTGTCAAATATATAGAACACAATGACCACGTGTATACAGATCACCTTAGGTATTTAAAAACACATGATTGTTAACCATTTTATGTCCGATTAACGTGGAGAAAGAACGTTAATTTGAAAATACATACTTCCATACGTTAGCACTTAGATCTACTACTTACCGGTTTACCTTTTATTATCACTGGATATTATCGTTAGTAACTATAATCATGAAAGTACTGTTTTTACCCTACACTAGATCACTTTTGACAGGATTACATAAGTCACTTAGTTTCATTCTTACATAACCCACTGATAAATTGAATCTCTCTTTGCTCATTCGAAAATATTTGTCTACCCGTTTCAGGGTACCGGTATGATCTACTTTGGTTATCCGAAATGAGTAAATGTGTTGTTTACTTCGTAAGTTACTCATCTAATCTTTTGGTAGATCTAGCATAAACAATTTAGTAATTGTTTGATACATGGAAGCACTGGACGGCCATTTCGTCCTATTGCGGGACTCCTCAGCAGTGCGCATCCACGACCCCGCCTCATGGGATTCGAACCCAGGGCCTATCAGTCTCAGTGGTCTAGTGGTTAGGCGCTCGCGCAACAAACCAATATTTGTCTCAACCCTTAACTTGCTAAGGTATGAAACATAATTCATATCATTTTATCAATAAGTAATTTATCGCCACTAATCACTACTCATTATTTTTTAAGGAATAAATAAAACACTAGTCAAATAATAATCACAATGTAGTGGCTCTCATAAGAGCCAATATTCGTTCTCTTTATACGTTATCAAGGATTAAATTGTGTAGACATCGGTTCATCTTTGATCCATTAATTGACAGGTAAATCATAATCATACTATCTCCACCAAAATTTTCTGACATAAAGAGTAACTTTGATTTTTAAATAAACCATCACAAACTCAAATGGTGGGCTGATAGTTCTGCTTTTTTGTGATTCATAGCAATCAAGATCTAGTCCTCGGTTTAGTGAGAGAACTCTCAGTTCAGGAATCTCGTCTCAGTGTTACAACGAAATTCATTCAAATTTTTGGAACCAATATAAACTCAGTAGTCCGTGATCAACCATTCAAGCATGAAACATAATTTGTCAATTCAATTGAGTAAGAATTAATTGAAATGAATAAATTTAGAGTAGGTATGGATATGTTAGGAAAGTTGTCGATAGCTCCAAACATCAATGTTCTTTATACCGACGCAATGATTGTTTAGTTTGTATCTTCATGAATAATAGTCGATTGTAAGCCTCTCCAATCTCTTTTTCTTTTCAAAACATACCATATTCTATTTAATTTCTTAATATTCTAAACAAAAGTCCTTTAGTCCGTCTATTTTTGTTCCTTCGTCAGGTATTTGCATGTCTTTTGATCAATGTTAATCGTAGCTTCATAGTTTCCCATAAAACATACCGCCCATTCTCGGGGAAAAATCGAAGATACTTCAGTGATAAATTAATATGCTGCATTTTGTTGGGTTACTCAAAGTTACTGCTTATTTATCATTATCATTATCGTTTATTCACCATGATATTATGAGTATGAAGACAAAACCAAGTAGAACTTTTGATATTCACACTTAATCCATATATGTTATTTATCGTCTAACAGTAAATGAATTTTAGACGATTGAAGCACTGTACGTCAGGCTCTTGATATGTATTCGGATGAATTATCTGTTACTTTTTTATGTAATACAGGAACAAGAAGTGATGTTTTCCGATCGATCAATATTATTACCAATCATTTTACATGGATCGCTGGTTTGTTATTATTAGAATAAACAAAATAATTTACATAAAAAATGAATTTCAATAAATTGAATATTACACAGAAACCATGTTAGTCAATTACATTTGCTGGGCAGAAAATATTCTGTTATGAATAAATATAGGGTATTATAGTTAAGTACGATTACAGGAAATCTTGTATATTAGATACACCATACAACAGCATGGGATTGTACCGAATGCAATAACCCTCTAACTAAATTAAACAACTATGGTCAGGTTATATGAATAATTTAAGAAAGGCAGGAAATCAACGTATGGAATCATTTAACAAGTTATACTAATCGATGGGAGAAAACTGGAAGGTGATCAAATGTTATGCTTTTTGGTTGTCTTCGCTGAATTAGTTATTTTATTCGTTAAGATCTTCTTGTCTTTGTGGATAACACTGTAGTCGTTACCGACCGGTAGTGAAACTTTCAAGGCGATGTCTATTCCTAACTTAGGACTGGTTATGTGAATGTATATGCTTTAATAACCCGTACGAGATACCTTTTAAGATGTATTTGTATCGACGGTACAATCACTTTGTATTCCACTATTTCCGGATTATTTTGTTTATAGTCACCTTGTTAGTGGACTATGAGCTCCATAAATATAATGTTCCACAAATCCAATCATACAAATGTTTTACTCTCGAAAGTACTAGCAAAGCTTTATCTGCACTAAGAAACGTCTTCATATTATATAGTGTGGTTGAACAGTATGATTCATGAGATCAAAACCGGATATAAAAGTAAGGAATACTGAATCCTACTTATATATATATCGGACAATTTAAAAAATTAGTGGAATATTACCATTGTGAAAAGAATTTTGAACACGAAGTCCTGGAGTATTCTCGTGATTTTCAAATCTATCATCATGACCCCAGTACTGTCTTAAACCTTGTCCACGATGAAAATTATTTTGAAAATGAACTCGTGAATGTCGCGTAAGGCCACGAGAATTTTTGGAAAATGCTTCCCGACCGTCATGTTCTGCAAAAAATTAACACATTAAATTAGAAAATAAAATGAAATATTAGATTAGATATTCAGAAATCGAAGTTTACAAACAGTTGGAACTAATCAACAAACTATACCGTATTATATAACAGAAATAAGATTCACTTGTGTTATCGAACAGCGTAAACAAAAAACAGTTGAAATCACAAGTTGATCTAAGCTAGACCGCAATTGAAAACCTGGAAGCACCGGATGGCCGTTTCACCCCAGTATGGAACTCCTCAGCAGTGCGCATCCACAATCCTGCACGCAGGACTCGAACCCGGGACCGTCAGTCTCGCGCGCGAACACTTAACCCCTAGACCACCGAGACGGTATTCGGCGGCGTTAATGTCTAGGTTCAAATGATCCATGATCTTGCGCAACCATTGATTGCATCGACTCGTGATTTCAACTGTGAAAATACTACAATCTCCACAAATTCCCAATCCTGATTGTCAGATTCATCTGACCAATTAGCGATGGTCTAAAATAAAGCAAAAATTTATCAATGTCATTCAAGGAGACATCATTGGTGTCTATATTGCGTAGACTTCTATTAACATTGACAATGTAATGGAATGTAAAAGTTGCAATGTGAAGGACCTTTCTTAGATAATTACGTTCTCAGATCACATCAAATCCATAGTGAACTACAATTCTTAGACCGTTTTATTTAAAAGGAACTTTAATGGAAATCAAAATTTATTCAACTAACGAAAATTGGAACATTTTAATGAGTACATGGACTTCAACTTTGTACATTCATCCAGTTTAATATATCTCTGGTTCGAAAATTAAACAAAAAAGCCATCAAGATCAAAACCTCAGAAGATAAGCAACCGGAGAAAAATAACATACTAAATATCTTACAACTTAGCGATTTCCCTAGGAATATAACTGATAAAAATAGCAGTCAAATGGGTTATTTTCAAAACTTTTTCTGTATTACGAGCACATACAGACCATAAGGTGATCCCCTGAGAGACCATTTATAGAATAGAGTGAATTTAGAGATGAGATGGTCTTGGATAAAAAAACGCTGTCAACCCTTATCGCAACTAAAATTATTGGCATCTCAAGCTGAGTCGTAAAAGCTCTTATTACCCTACACTAGACGTCGAAGTTTATTTTTAACTGATTTTGTTGAAATTATTGAATTTTTTAACGCTTATCACGTATTTAACTTATCCAAATATACCAGTTTAAACAAATAAAGTCTACATATATATTAATTTAGAGAGAGAATTATCACAAGAACATTTATAATGTTATTCACTTACGAAATACAAAAAAACATACCACAATCTAAATTGTAAAATCCACGCTCTTTGATTGATTTCGAGGGAAAAACAGTACGCTGCTGATCTAATGTCGACCGAAAAACTGTTGAACGATCCATCCGTGATCCATTTAGTACAGGTTGATTTAAAGAATGTTTTTGTATATCTATTCGACGGCTATCATTTACTTTATTACTATTGTTACCGCGACCACGATTACGACTAGCTAAAACGGATGGAGGTGGATTAGCCAGAAACAAGGCCCGATTTATTTCATACTGAGTCATCAAGTCACGATTATATTGCTCTTGGTCCTTATGTATGGAATGCATGCCATGTGTAGAACGACGATTATTTTGATAATCAAATTCTAAAATAGTATAAAGTAAAACGATCAGTCAGTATAAATCAAGTTCTGTAAACAAACTAATAATAACAGGCTTAGACTATGTGGGGAATCAATTGATTTAATACACCTATGTACAGTTCAGTAATACCAACCAATTATCGAACGTAGTCGTTTTCAGAAATGTGGGGATTTATTCGGTGTCAATAGAACCTGTTGTAACAGGTCACTATCACCAAAATAATTACAAGATAAATGATTAACTCTATGATGATCCATTACACCGTTTTTCGTAAACGTGAATAATTTGTATGTTATTGAATATTTACAGAACTCAGCAAAAACTCCTTATGATGTAAACAAATTTCTTGACTTAAACACACTTCCATGTGTTACACTATGTGACAAAGAAAATATTTGGGTAGTAGTATAATGTTCGTCAGCTTCATAATACTATGGTTTTCATAAGTACCCCTAAGGATGTAGCTGACTTTTAATAAATTTTTCATTACTGCAGAACTAGGTAGATAGATTAGCTAGTTAAGACAGCGTCATAACTGTCATTTTAAGCTGCAAACTTAAATTACTACTTATTAAATATTTCGCAACTGACCGTTTTAAACACTTGAAGAATGTAATGATTGTATCAACAAATGTGGATTAGAGGAGAGCAGAGTAACAATTAACATTTCCAGCTCTACTTCTCAATGACGCTTATGGAGTTTCATAAGTTCCCTACTCAAATTTCGCCATATAAAGGCTTAAATAGTACTGTGATTCAATCTAACTGGGAATTTCCTATATTTATAGGAATTCCATCAGTTTAAAAATGAAAAAGATCATTCAGAATCAGTTGATAGGTATATTATTGTCGCAACTCAAAAGGTAGGTTGCTATCAACATTTTAGAATAGATACTAACACGTATGGAGAACTCTATTATTGATGTAATCAGTAAGAAAACCGATCGTCCGTTAGGTATAGAGTGTAGCCGTGAACTGTACTATTAAAAGATTTTTAAATAAGAGTAAAGGTGAACAGCACACAAACACTGTGATTTTCGTCAACCGACGTCTGTTAAGTACATCCTATATATCACACAATGTGAAGTGGCAATCTTACATTGATTATCATATGTAAATGCATGAATAGCCATTATCCACATAAACGTGTAACATTTGCTACAGTAAAAAACTTTTCGGAAAGACTATTATACATATCAAAGCACAATTACTAACAATAAGAATACTTTTTTAACCAGTCAGTCAATACGAGATGTAACAAGATCTCTAAACTAGCTAAGTCAAGAACAATCATCAAATCTCACGAACATAACTAAAATTTTGCTGTGTATACTAATATTTTCGAGCTTAAAACAAGTTGGGGATATGATCAAACATCTTCGTATATGGACCTTGATTTACTTGACCTTTTTGGGCTGTTGTTCCACAGGTTGTAGTCAAGGGTCTCCTAAATACTATTGCTTTTTGGAAGGTAGACATAATAACCACCACACCACCGTCACGGCAGTCAAGACGATGTAGAACAGTTTTGTGACAAACTGAAGTTCATCTCATAAAAATGTCCAGGAAAGCACCTGATCATCCTGATGAGGGATCTACATACCAAGGTAAGGATAGATAACAGCGGGTACGGATGTATAAGGAGGCAATATGGACTGGGAGAAAGAAATGAGAATGGTGAGATTATATATCTATGTTTTTAACAGCATGATCATAGGTGGCATTATTCCACACACACCCACAAAGTTGCAAGTTTCGCTGGACCACACCACAAAGAACCAGATCGATAAAGTTTGCATAGGTAAAAGATTTAAGAAGTCTCTCGAACACGTCAGAACAAAGCAACTGATGTAGCTTCGGATCATCAACTTATGGTGGATAAACTTAAGCTGAGACTAAAGAAGCATTGGGTACAGGCGTCCTTCGAGATCTCAGCAAGTCCGGCGAGTCCAAAATACTTTTCAGCAACAAGTCTTGCGAGATCTATCCAAGAGAGGAAACCGCTATTGAAAAATGGAAAAGGGTTGAAGACGCAATAGCCTCAACATACGAAGTGCTGGACCTCAAGAAGCACCACCATAAACAACGGATTTTTATTGATGCCCTGACCAAGATTCAAGAAGGCGAGAATAAAAAGACAGTAATCAACAATAACCGAATAAAAGCAGAGGAAGGAAACAGACAGGTTCAATATACAGCGGCAAACAAGGGAGTGAAGGGCATTAGAGCTGACAAGCGGAAATATGTGGAAGACCTAGCAATGACAGCGGAAAAAGCTACAACAGAGGGAAATGTGAAACAACTATGTGATACAATGAAAAGATAGCAGGGAAATATAGTAGACCAAAGCATGTAGTTAGAAATAACCAGTAACAAAGAAAATCAAGAGAAGCGAGAAAATTATGAAGAGCTCGTGAGTAGACCAGCCTCACTGAACCCACTGAAAATCCAAACAACGCACACAAATCTCTTTATAGATGTCACCCCATCAGCAATATAGAAAAACAAGATAATCAGACAAATCAAGAATGGCAAGATAGTAGGACCATATGTCGAACCAGACGAAGCGCTGAAGTCAGATGTAGAGGTAACTACCGAGACATTCCACATCCTCTCCAGAAAGATTTGGGAGGAAGGATAAGTACCAACAGAAGAGAAAGAAGAACACCTCATTAAGGTAACGAAGAAAAATCTTAGTAACTGTGAGAACTGCATAAAGATCACACTATTACTAATACCAGGAAAGGTTATTAACGGTGTTGTCAAACCGAATGAAGGATTCAGTAGAAGCCCAGCTCCGAGATCAACAGGCTGGATTCTATAAGGACCGATCGTGTGCCAAATACATCGCGACACTAAGGATCATTGTTGAACAATCGGCTAAATGGAACTCATTATCATAAATGAACTTCCCTGATTACAAGAAAGCATTTGACATCATGCATGGGAGAACTTTTTGGAATCTTATTTGACACTACAGAGTACCTGAAATCACCATCATATGGAATTCCTATAAGGGACTGCATCGCAGCTCAAATGTTTATTTCACATGAAGGCTGATGTCAGACAAGGCTGCTTATTCTACTTCCACTGTTGACTGGATTGTGAAGATTCTCACATCATAGGAGAATCATGGAGTACGATCGTCAGCTTGGATGCAGCTGGACGATTTGTGCTTTTCAGATGACCTATTCATGTTATCACACACACAACAACAAATACAGGCGAAGACGACCAGTATAGCAGCTGCTTTGCAGGGATAGGCTTCAACATTAGCCAGGAAAGACAAGATGCTGAAGTAAAATCACAGTGAATACCAACCTGTGAGCACTTGGTTTCTAAGCTCTGAAAGAGATGGAAGCCTTTACGTGGTTCGAAAAGCTCGTTTGGCTTTGCCACCTTACGTCACCTTTGGCGAAGGCGAGATATCCGTCATTCAATAAAAGGAAGAGTATACTGCGCGGCAGTCCGTTCTGTCTTAATTTACGGCAGCGAAACATGGTCTTTAAGAGTAGAAGACACCCGTAAGCTACTAGTATTTGACCACAGATGCCTTAGAAATATTGCTGGCGTCTGTTGGGATCACCGGGTAAGTAATAGTGAGGTTAGACGCAGGGTATTAGGCAATGATGGTAAATCAGTTGATGAGGTTGTGAATCTTTATCGACTGAGATGGTTGGGCCATGTGTTACGTATGCCCGAACACCGTTTACCATGATGCACAATGCTGACTAGTGTTGGAGACGGATGGAAGAAAGTTAGGGGAGGTCAAACCAAAACGTGGCATCAGTCCTTAAAGTCACTAGCTTCTAGTCTAAGCCATGTTGGTAGATGCAGACTACTTGGTTGGGGTCCGCGTGACTTTCGTAACCAATGGTTGGCGACTCTTGGTGACATGGCTCAGAATCGGTCACAATGGCGTCGGTGTATACACTCTCTGTCTTCTCTTAAACTAAGAGATTAAAATTGCCTCATATCTTTCTTACTACGAACTAATTCTTTCTTCCTGTAATATATCCTTATTGCAATCTTTCTTTTACATATTACCATCTCTGAATTAACCACTTATATTAATCCGGTGTCCATCTTGTTGTGTTAATGAGGTATGGCAACTTGGACCGATGCATATATGTGCCTGGTCCTACGTTGTAGCTGTCTGACTGACTGACTTTATGTGGTTGAGCAACACCACTGACAAACGACGGGTCCTGGTGCAGAGGTGAAAACATGGATTGGCAAAGCAAAGGCAATATTCCCCGAGTTGATAAACATCTGGAACTCAGAGTAACCCTCAGCCAACACCAAAGTCAGAACCTTCAACACAAACGTTAAGAGAATCATATTGTATGGAGTTAAAACTTAGAAAACCACGGCTACTAGAACAAGCCAATATTAATAATTCATCTTCGTGTCGTATTTCCCACTTTGGAGGACCTTAAGTGTTATTGGTTAGTTGTTGCTTTTAATATGCTACTTTGTAACGTTTCCCAATGACACTTTTATGTTGTAAATATACGCTTGAGTTGTACTTGTGGTTCGTTTGTGGTTCTGGCTGCTTGTGGAATACATTCCCCTCTTCTGAACCTCGACTTCTCTCCCTAGCTAGCGGGGCTGGGACACATCGGAATAGTTTATTTCATCATTGTGTCACTGAGTCTTTGCTTCATTCGCAGATTAGGTGGACTCGTAATCTCTTCAACTATAGCAGTCATAAAATAACTATGTCGTATTCCAGTCAGTCAGCCATATTTTTATGGTTGCCTTAATTACGACCCAGCTACTCTTATTGCTTAGTATTCTTTGACACCACTCAACAAGTCACAAAATCAGAACACGGTTGAACAAGAACGTTGTCAGTTGTAGCTGACTGACTGACTGAGAACGTAACTATATTTCAAATGACAAGGGTGGATGGAAGTAGGAGTCCCAATAAGTGATGTGTTAGTACACTTATAATTTTTACATAAGATTCCAGATTATCTTAATATCCGCTAGCACGGACTGGTTAGGAAATAGTCAATCAGAGTATCCTAAACACAGTCCTTCACGAAACATGCTTTAATTCAATCTATATCCTACTAACACATATGCAATGTAGAACCCGACACATATGCATTGGTTCAAGCTACCGTACCACATTACTACAGTGGATATTTTGTTTCCCGACTTTACTGCCTTGCAAACGTATACACTTGTTAGGGCTTTTAGGATTTTTCGGATACATTTTCTAGACTGGCTACCAACCTTCTGTTCCTTCGGTGGAGCCTTGAGAACAACGCCAAAATTGTTAAAACCTCCTAGCTATTTGCATCACGACGATACAGGCCGTTGTCATTTAACCCTAATTCTATTGCAATATATATAGAAGTATTGTGAAATCGAAGCATGAAAAGCCTAACCCATAAACAGATCAAATGACCGATATAATTATGATCGATAGACTATTACAACATAAATGATAATATTAATAATACTTTTGAACAAACCAAAATTAGAAAGACTATATACATCAATGATTTAATATCAATCAATAATTAACTTTGTAACAAACCAAAAGTAAGTATACTACTCCTTTTTACAAAGTTTGAAAAAATCATTAAAAATGTTCGGCATATAATTAAATATGCACGAAGTGAATAATATTTTAAATATGAGAAATAAATCGTCACATTTCAAGCATTTATTGTCCTAGCTAAGATAGTGACTCCTAGTATAATCAGGTTGTTTACGTAAACACATTGAGGTTCACATAAATAATTCAACTGTGTCAAACAACATGGTGAGCAAGGTTACGAAATGTGCGTGGAGGACAATACCGATCTAATCTCAACTCAGGTGGTACTAATTTACCCACGGTCAAATGAAATATAAATCTCACAGACACCAGGAGATTTTGGACTGAACAAGAACGCAGGACGCTTTGAAAAATTACTTCTGAACATTATATGCGCGTGGTTATGAAGTTATATGGTTTACAATTAAATGTCAAATATTATACAAGAAATTTATAGCTTCACACCTAACAACCAAAATAATAAATGCAAATAGAACCAATCTTGATGTATTTTTCAAAAAGTAATTTAAATGATGAATACTTCGTCGACCACCTCATAAAAGATTAAAGTAACAAGTAAACGTAATTGAATTTAATTACTTAGTGGCGAAAAGACATCTACAAATTAATACAGATTATTTCTTCTTACCCAGATTTTCTGTGGGGTTTTTGTGGTGTGTAGCAAACATAAATAATAGCCTCGATCTCTTAAACCAATGTGATGTGATGTGGGAGAGTTGAGAATGTTATATCTCCAAAATACAGCTTATAGCAAATCAATTTGAGGTAATTTTGTCCAGCCAATTTCTCAGTGGATTTTCGTCATATTAATTTATTTAGAGTTAATTATATTTATCAACTTTCAGTTGTTACTATTTGTTTGATTTTCAGTGAATTTTCCCTTGTATTGATCAATTCACCGATTTTAAGTTCAATGAAAACTACTCAGTTTGGTAAAATTCTGTAATTAGTAATTATTGAATTAATATATTACTGAATTAACTTGAATGTAATCAATTCTTCTGCGATTGCTATCAAGAAAGCCTCCATACAAACTGAACTTTTCACTCTAGTTTATAGACAGGGAAGAAGAGTATAAAGTAGTCTCATTCACCATACCGAAGCCGAAGTTGCGAAGTATCATCCAAATGCACGAAATTTTTAGGAAGAAAAGAGAGTTGAAACGAATATCCAGAATATATGGTGTGTTCTGTGAACTAGATGGGTTAATTTTGAGTCTCACTGTCGCTAAGGACGAAATAGTTTGAACCTGTTTTATGTAGAAGTCTGCTTTTAATTATTTTGCAAACGCTAATCAGAATGTTTTAATAACCTCGCTAAGTGGGTATTATAGTTCTTATTATGTTAATCTGGTTACCCCCTACAGTACCATCAAAATGTATCTAATAAGTCGACATTACCATGGAAGAACTGTCCTACCCACTGGAACAATAGGAATAAACTGGTACGTAAAATATCTCGTAAGTCGGTATGATGATTTTAAAATCTCTCAGAACCAAAGTTCCTCATAAAGCCAACACTACTCGATTCGATACAAACTGAAAGGTATAATAATCAAGACAAACAAACGCAACAACACCTATAAAATAGTTCACTTGTGTATTGGCTGTTTGAATCTTTTCATTGATCAGTCTCTTATCGGCATATGTGCATCCTATGCGGATCGCCTCAATATTGCGCCCTGGATTCCACTTTTGGCCACCATCCACCTACAAGACAGGTCCCACTACTTGTAATGAACAACGTATTAGAAACGTGTCCGCCTTACCAACGCTTACATGGGTTTCGAATAATAATAATAATAATGAAGTTATACCACTATCTAATAAATCAACGTACATAGACGATATTGTGGAATGAGATTTTAAAAAC